GTGAACGAACCGAGGATATCCATCCCCCACCAGGCGAATGGCCAAGGGGAGGATAGGGACTTGAGCTCGCTCGGAGGGGCGAGATACATGTCCCCGTGTCGCTAACACCCTGTCGCACTTCCTGACGTGCTCCTCTACGTTCTCCTGCATCATCGGCCAGTAGTACCCGGCCCGTAAGGCTTTCCTTGCCAAGGACCATCCTCCGAGGTGCTGCGCGTTGATGCTTTCGTGTACCTCTTGTAGGACGGCCGATGCTTGGATTTTGTTGACGCATTTGAGGAGGGGAATCGAGAAGCCCCTTCGATATAGTTTGTTGTCGAGCAGCACGTACAAGTAGAATCATCGTTTGAGCGCACTGGCCTCCTTGTCATCGTCGGGGAGGTGCCCTATGCTGAGGTAGGTGTGTATTGGGCTTGTTCGTATTCCTCCGTCCACTCGAATGCGACCTCCTTTCTCAGCAGCTTGAAGAACGGGAAGGCGTGCTGTGCGGACTTGGCGACGAAACGGGATAGCGATGTGAGCATTCCATTGAGGGACTATATCGACTTCTTCGAGCTCGGCTTCACGATATCGGAGAAGGCCCAACACTTTTCCGGGTTTTCCTCGACCCCTTGTTCGGTCAGGTAGAATCTGAGGAACTTCCTCGCGCATACTCTGAAGGTGCATTTCTTCGGATTGAACCGCATCCTGCACCTCCTCGCCGTCTCGAAGACTTTCTTGAGGTGTGTCGTATGATCAACCTCCGTGCAGGACTTGACAATCATGTCGTCCATGTAGACCTCGAGCATGTCTCCAATCTCTCCTCGGAAGACTTTGTTCATCATCTGTTGATAGGTGACGCCGACATTTTTAGGCCGAAAGGCATTATGTTGTAGTAGTAGTTGCTCGACTCGGTCATAAATGTCGTGCTCTGCTTGTTGGCCTCGGCCTTGGGGATCTGGTTGTACCCCGAGTGTGCATCCATAAAGGACAGTAGTTTGAAACCCGTCGAGTTGTCGACGAGTTTCTCGATGTTGGGGAGGGGATAGGCGTCCTTAGGACATGCCCGATTAAGATCTGTGTAGTCAACGCACATCCTCAATTTTCCATTAGACTTCTTAACTAATACAACGTTGGACATCCAGGTTGAATATCAGGCTTCCGAAATAAAATTCTCCTCTATGAGGTCTTTTACAGCTTTTTCAGCAGCCGCTGACTTTTCGGCAGACTGCCTACGTTGTACTACGACCCTAGCGGTCGGGTTGACGAAGAGCTGGTGGTAGGCGACCTCAAGGTTGAGTCCGGGCATCATTGAGGCGCTCCAGGCGAAGAGGTCAGCGTTCTCATGGAGGCAGGCCTTCAGCTGCTTCCTCGCTAGGTTGGGCAGCTCTACCCCAATCTTTACGGTCTTCGTTGCGTCTGCCCCGAAGGTCACGATCTCGAAGTCCCCGTCTGGGGTGGGGCGCGTTGGATGGATAGGCTGCCCGTTGGTGGATGGAAGAATGTTGCTGGATTTGTCCTCGTGATTTGGCTCTTCGGAGAAACGGCAGTCAAGGTCTACGGTGTCGACGTGATCCTTCGGTTTGTCCTCCTAAACGCGGGGTGGGGGCTTAGTTGCTTTGGTCGCGAGACTGATTGTACTAAGCCCTTCATCGCTGCTTCGAAGCACCGACGAGCAGCTTCGATGTCCCTGTTGAGGTTGGCGATGGCTCCCAGCCTGGTGTAGTACTTCATCTTCAGGTGGACGGTTGACGACACTGCGGTGAGTTCGGCCATCGTCGTTCTGCCTAGGATGCAGTTGTACAGAGATAGGAACTCGACGACCAGAAAACGAACGTTGATTTCTCTGACTGTTTCCTTTTCCCCAAAAGTGACCTTGAGCTCCAAGTATCCACATGGTCTTGTCGTCATCCTGTTGAAGCTCTGGAGATCGGGGCCCAGGTAGGGTGACAGGTTGATTTTGTCGAGCTGAAGTGTTGAGAAGAGGTGGGTATACATGATATCCACTGAGCTCCCTCCGTCGACCAGGATGCGTCGGACGTCAATGTTGGCCATTTGTGCCCGTATCAAAAGGGGAATGGCCGAGTTGGGGGCTCCCCCGGGGAGCTCCTCGAGATAGAAGGTGACCGGATTGGATTGACCTTGGAACTTGTCGAGCGTGCTCATCTTGCTGGAGCTGTTGCTCATTAGCTCGTCGAACTTACTCTTAATCGATCCAATCGAGAGCTTGCTCGGGGTCCCGCCAGAAATGACCATTTCCCTGGGGAAGTATTCCCACCGGCTGGTGGGGCACACTGGCTCCTCGGGCAGCTGAAGCTCGGCGGGGAGGCCGAATTCCCTTAGGGAGAACCAGTCCTCAGGTCAACAAACACTGAGGCCCACCTGCAGGCCGGAGTCGTTGTTGGGAGGAGGGAGGTCTTCGACTTTTTTGGCCTTGGGGGCTTCTTTCCGCAAGGGATCTCCTCCCCGGGTGTACCTCTTCAGATGCCCGTCCTTGATCATAATTTTAATTACATCCTTCAGGTGGATGCAATTCTCTGTCACGTGACCGTGGCTTCGGTGGAAGCGACACTATTTGGATTTGTCCACGTTGGCTTTGCTGGGTGCTGATTTTGGAAAATAGACACCCTCCCAAACAAATTCTGAATTGGCGCACTCAGCCAGTATGCGCTTGCAGGAAGCGACTAGTGCCGTGTATTCGGTGAAATGGCCAACGGGACCCCGCTGCTCGTGGGGTTCTCGGGGACGGTTCTCCCGTCGCCGGTCTCCCCCGCGCCGGTGGGCCGAGGCCGCTTCATCTCGGGACCCACGGGGTTTTCCCGATTTCTAGTGTCACGGGCAGTGTTGGCGGCCTCCGTCTCCTCGAACCGGATGTAATGACAGGCTCTTTCGAGGAAGTCTTGGAGAAAGTCTGGCCGGTGGATGGCCACAACCTCGTAGAGTTTGGAGTTTCAGCGTAAGCCCTGCTCCATCAAGTAACGTTTCATCTCGTCCGACGTCGTTACCTGGACTGCCTCCCTCATGAACCTCTCAATGTAGTTTCAGAGAGGCTCATCTAGGTCCTGGATGATTGCGCCCAGCGCGGCCTCCGTCTTCGGATGTCGCCTTGACGCCGTGAAGTGTCGTGAAAATAGGTCCTTCAGGACCCTCCACGATGTGATGGACTCAGGATCCAGGCTCTTGTACCATGCCATAACTCCCTTTCTTAGTATCGTCGGGAAGAGCCTACAATTGATGGCCCTTCAGACGTTCCTGTAGTCGGGCATAGCCTCGATGTCTTCCAGATGATCGTCTGGGTCCGAGGTGCCCTCATACGTCGAAAGTACGGGAGGTTTCTCCATTCCGTGGGGGATGGGGGCCACCATGATTTCTCGCGATAGAGGAGTCCTATAGTCGTCCTCGTCACTGCGAACCGGGGATTGCGGAGGCGACGATTCGTGTCGAGGAGACGAGTTACGCCCCTCGGTCTTCTGGTCGGGGCTTCAATCCTGTTCGCCCTTGGCTCCGGGGACCGCCTCTCCTTCAGGGGTGGTGATCTTGCTCGTTTCTTAGAGGCCACTGGTTAGGGCCTCTCCACCTGTGGTCGACGCCCCCGTGGTCGTGGAGAGGGGCTCCGGGAGCTCCCGCGCTGATTTCTCCGTGGAGGAGAGCGGGACGAGGTGTCCTGTTCCAGCGCGCCGATGCACTCATTTTGTTGTAACAACATCTAGTTTGTCTGGTTGATGGGCGCGAAAAGAGCGACCATCGTTGGGTCCGTGCCATTCGGTGTGGGAATGAGCTGGAATACCGTCGGGCTCCTCACCCGAGGAACGACATGGTGGGTCGCATCCTCGAATGAAGGGAGGCAGTTTGGCCGTCCCCGTCGTCGGTCTCGCGAAGTTGAGATGTCCATGTCTGGTTGTCGCCGTTGGTGAACGACGTGAAGGCAGAACCGAGAACAACATCATCGTGGCGTGGGCTAGTCATGCTATTGAGATTTGAGAGGAGGAAGCTTTGGTTCTCTGCTCGGAGGAACGGGGAAGCTTAGTTTCCCACAGACGGTGCCACTAATTTGACCTGATCAGAAGGAGAACAATGACCTGCCACGCGCTGTTGATCTGCTAGCTGCTCACAAGGAATATGGACGAGGAGGGGGGTGTACTTGCAAGACACTCCGATGTCAAAGTAAGTAATTGACCAGAGTGGGAGCAAATACAGAAGAGAGGTTAAGAAGAGAATATCTGACCCTCTTGTGAAAGAGGGTATTTATAGAGAGACCCCAGCGCAGGGTCAACAGTCACTTGTGTTGGGCTGGATTGTCAGGCCCAACCTAGGTGACTGATAGGGCTTACGTGGCGTAATGAAGACCATCACGTGGTCTTCGCCCTAATTCAACCGTCCGTGATCTCCGAAAGGTGGGTTGACCATCTCTTTCGGAGGTGGGTAGTTGGATGATGACGTGTCCCCGCGGAGGGGAGCACGTGGAGAAGGTGTGGAGGACACGTTATTCTGTCCGACGGAGGAAGCGTCCTGGTCGACGGGAGCACCTGTGCTCGACATCGGGGCAATTTGGACCAGGTGGGCCTTCCCCGAATAGCGTGGGGCTGGGCCTGTCCATTCAGGTCTGAGCCCAGTCCAGAACAATTATTATAATCAAATCTCTATTACTCCCTTTAAATTTAAAACGGGTGCAAATTTAGATGAATTAAAAAAAATTATTTAATTTTTTAACCCAAAATATTAATCATAGTAAAACTAATTAAATAATTAAATGGCATAATTATTCTTAACTCAATATTTTGTAAATAAATTAATCTAAGCACGTTAATGAATCACAAAATTTCTATTCTCCTCTATCAAAACACTTATTAATTTGTCATATATCAACAAGCATCTTTAATTTTTCACCAAAGATTGCCCAAATTTTCACCCTCTTTTAAATTTTTTTAATTAAAAAAGAAAATACAAATAAAAATAATAAAAAAAAAAACAAAAAAAGAAACTAGGGTCTCTGTGTGACCCAGAAGTCTAAACAATATACGATGCTGAAGCTCAACTACCTCTCTTTGCTGTGTGGTGTTAGGTGTGACCCTAATTCCTATCTCAATTTCGATTTCTTCTCAGCTCTCTTCAAACCCAAGGTTCCCAAACCCTCACCCTCACTTAGGGTTTTTTTCATGAATAATTCGTCAATTTAGGGTTTGTTTTTGTTACTAATTTGTGATGTGCAGGATTATTACAAGATATTGGAAATGTATTACGATGCTAATGAGGATGTTATTCGCTCTAATTACATTCGTCTTGCTCTTGTGAGTTTCGTTTTATGCGTTCTTCTTTTTCTTCTATCATCTCGGTGGAGCAGTTAATAATCTCTTTTGCTATGATTTTGAACACAGAAATGGCACCTGGATAAACAAAAAGACCAGAACTCTGCTACGTTGATGTTTCAAGATATAAACGAGGCATATCAGGGTATTTATCACTCTCTTTACTTTACCATCTGTAGTAGGAAAAACAATTTGGAAATATCTATTTGTACCCTATTTAAATTTCAGTTTAAATGTTCATGTTGTATGTTTTTGAAGTTAAATTTTGAAAAGGAATGTCTTGTTATGGTTAAATGCAAATTTGAACAGAAAAGTAACAATTTTAAAGTTGACACTTACTTTTAGAATTCTGTTATATTAAGGTATGGATTATTTTTTCTGGTAGTATTGATTGGACAGAATACTTGTTGATGGCGGTTCATGGCGGAGAGCCAAAATCCCACAATATTGGCTGCTTTTCGTCACCGTTTTAGCAGATTATGGTTGGAAAATCCGCGAGTATTTGATTTTTGTTTTCTATAAATTGAAGTATCAACGATCTAAGCTAAGATTTTTTTCAATTGCGTTGCGAACATTTGAATTCGTTCGCTGTGCGTGTTATCAAGAAAATCAAGTTTTGAATTCAGTGAATTTGTTATGCGATTATGCGCCAATTCTAACTTCGATCTTAACGAAATTGCTTGAAACTTCACGATCCTATTGTGAAGCAGACTACTTGTGTTCCGGCGACGGTTGTAGTAAAGTAAGAGCAGCTTCCAGAACCGTTGTCGGTGACGGTTATAGTAAAAGAGCAGCTTCTGGAACCACTGTTGCCTGGCAGAGGATCACCGGCAGAGGTGCAACAACAGCAGCAAAGGTCTAATGATGTGCAGCAGAATCTGGTGGTTGGGCCAAGGCTAGTGTCGAATTATACTGGATACAATTCTAGAGAAGGAGGATGGACCATGGTCGAGGTGGGCACCCTTCGGCAGTGGCATCTATTGTTATATTATATTACTAGACAAGGGACTATATATAGGGAAGTTTTATTCTTTAATATAGTAGGATATAGTATTTTTCTCTTGTTAAAGTATTATTAAAATTTTGATACCAAGTTGGTTAAACTGAATCAGTTACTAAATGCACTTTAACTTGAAGACTGTACTAATGCATTATGGCCGCCCACTATATTGAAATATACAATTGGATCCTTAACAAATCCTTTTTTTCTATATTAAATGTTTGTTTAATTACAATCTTCATGCAAGTGGTTAGATCGCAATATGTTTGAGGAAATCTTGGCTCCTAATCAAATTAACATAATGTTTAAACTAAATATATCATCTGCAATCTGATCTAATGATACTACTTTATCTAATAATATCATTTTTATTACACAGCTATACACACTTTTTTATGGGGAAAGTGCTTGTTTAAAGGGTTTTTTTATTAGCTTTTTGTTTGTATTGATTTGTTTAGTTTATTGGAAATATTTTATTGTAACATATTTGGATGTAGTAGCACACACAGTGCTTCTGAACTTCAATTGGTATAAAATCTGGCTTTGTTCATGGATGTTGGAATGGTGTCAGTTTGGCATTTGCATGTCATGATTTATTGTTATGGCAGTTAGGAAGTAAATGTGTTTTTATCTATAATCATTTACAGACTGTGAACTTCAACTTCATATCATTAAAATCTGCTTGAGCTAGCTAGGTTTAGGGTACTAATTCTACTTTGTAGATTAACTGATTCATTCTTACCCCCTTCTATCATGACTTTTCATCTAGGAACTGGCTGCACTTAGACTTAAGACTGGCGACAGTGTTCAGCAACGTGCAGAGAGGCTCTTCCTTACCATGGTAAGTTCCATAAGATATGTGTTCTCACCATGTCCTTGTAAGTTGATTGTCATAAGCTCAATCAAAAAATTGGGATCTTTTTTGCATCATAGTCAACTTACCTTTGATATATGATGATCATATAAGTTGAATGTCACAATTTTTCCTGCTTCGATGCTTCCATTGCCGTCAAAGCTTCGCCATTCACATCATGCAAAAGGTATTGCATGGTGGGTGGGTGGGTGGGTGGGAGAGCCATCTTTCTAACTAAAAAACAAGGTTCGTCGTTGAATTATCATAACCTACTAATTAATCAACTCAAAGGTATTGCATGGATTCAAAATGAACTAAACTAATAATATTTCGAAATTATTAAACAAACTTGGCACAAGTGGTAGATATTTGGGACCTTAATCATTTGGTGAATGGTTTTACTGAATACTAGCTAGTGTGTGAAAAATATTCATTGAGAAGTCAATTCCTTTAAATGATCTTATTATCTAGATAACTTAGTTTCTGCAATTACACCTGGAAATATCTTAGTATATAGAAAATATTCGAAATAAACACAAATTATGATATGTACCTCTTAAAGGAAGCCAATCGAATTTGTACAAACATCATGGGCTGTTATGGGTTTAATTCATGCTGGTCAGGTATCTTTACTTTTTATTGTAAGCTAAAAACATCATGGTGTCATTGTCAGTCACATAACTAATGCTTATTACATGTGTATACTCCCATGTTAGAATATTTTCTAAATTTGTATACTTCCATATTGGAGCTTGGCTTATGCTAGCAAGGTCTTCTATATTGGAATAGATTAAATATTGTACTCAGGGAATGTAAGAAATACCAAACCCAAGAGATTCTTGAATAAAAGAGCATTACTCAAGTAAGCATTGTTTTAATTCAATACATGGCTTTGATGGAGGATTCTTCTTTTGGCACCACATAATAAATTCTCTTGCTCGAATGAGTAATTGCATAATTGATTTCTTCATATGATAGGCCTGGATGGTGATTGACTTTGAGGCTGCGACGGGAGAATTGGGTGAAAACAAAACTGCCTAATCCTTATAAAGTGAAAACAGGTGATTACTTTATTTCTTAGTTGAAAATATGTGATTACGAATTTGGATTATATTTGCATGTTACTATAGGGATTAAGGGTGTGTGCTAATTTAATTTGTTTTTTGTTGTGGGAAATAAATTAGAAAAATTAGAATGAATTCAAGGACTTACTAAACTCATTATAAATAGTTAGCTGCTTTGTTAATATCAACTTTAGTTTTTGATATTAAAGTCACTGAGTATAAGAACATGAACAATATTCTCATGTCGAGATTATTGTGATTGTAGATATAATCATGAAAGTTATTATGTTGTAATTTTAAATGTTTATAGAATTTATCATGATCATTGAGTGGAGCTTTGATGTTGTAATTTCAACACAACAGATCCTAATTTCCAAGGGGTTTAATAAGAAGAATAGATTTATCAATATACAATTGTTATTTTTTTATGCATGCACTTTTGTGCCTTTGTATATCAGCTGATAGAATGCCTTTGTTAACTACAAAAAGGATGTTGGCTTTTGGAACCATATTAGGGCCTTAGAAGAAGTGACATGTCAACTAGTATTTGGAATCTCAACCCTTAGAGCATCCACACTCATTATCCTCATTTTGGTTCTTTAAATGGGATCCACGCATTTTTTTATATTATATTCCACTTCAATATTTTCTAAACAACTCAACTACATTTTTTAAATATCCATACAACCCATCAAAAACTCTAAAATGGATCTTACCAAATCTCACAATATATCCAACATTTTAATTATATAAATAAATAATTGAAACAATTTAATTCAAATATATCAAAATACATTAAAAAATTATATATATATATATATATATATATATATATATATATATATATATATATATATATATATATATATATATATATATATATATATATATATATATATATATATATATATATATATATATATATATATATATATATATATATATATATATATATATATATATATTAAAAAACACAATACATCACACAAATAGCATAAAATACAATAAAAATATATATTTAAAATATTTTTCAATTGTTGTTATTCTCATGTCCATAACGTTGTCATATATGTTCTATAAGTCTTGTTGAAGGTGTTGATGAACTTGTTTATCACGAATATCAAATCTTCTACGCATGAACTCTTGAAAATCAATATTAGAATCATTCGACAATATTGTCGCATTTTTACTCAAATGATCATAAGAAAAATCATAATTTCCACATTGCACGTTCATCTTCAACAATCATGTTGTGTAATATGATGCATGTATTCATTATGCGTTGGAGTGTGACTAAGTGCCAAGATCGTGCTGGATTAGTATGGTCGCAAGAACTCCAAATGCTCGTTCATTATCCTTTCTTGCCCCTTCTTGATGTTGGGCAAACAATTTTCTCGTATCCCCTTGTGGCATCAGGATACTTTTTACAAACGTGGCCCATTCAGGATAAATACCATCTGATAGATAATAGCCCTTGTTGTATTTAGTACGATTGATTGTATAATGAACTTCGGGAGCTCGTCCTTGTAGAACATCGTTCAACACATTGGATTGGTTCAACACATTAATATCGTTCTTTGAACCCGCTACCCCAAATAATGCATGTCAAATCCATAAGTCTTGTGAAGCCACTGCTTCAAGCATAACAGTTGGTTTCCCATGATTGCCTCGAACATATTGTCCTTTCAATGCAACAGGACACTTTTTCCATTTCCAATGCATGCAGTCAATGCTCCCTAACATACCTGGAAAATCCTCGTGCCTCTCCCATTTGCATTAAGCGTTCAATGTCTTCGGCGTTTGGCCTTCACAAATATTGTGCACCAAAGATGTTGATCACTCCTCGTTAGGGCTGGAAATGAGTCGAGTCGAGTCGAACTCACCTCAGCTCGGCTCGACTCGTTAAGAATTGTTCGAATTCGAGTTCGAGTTCGAGTTCGACACGAACTTTTTTTTAAGCTCAAACTCGACTCGTTATAAGTTCACGAACAGTTCGGTTCGACTCGTTAGGTTCATCTCATTAGGTTCATCTCATTAGGTTCAGCTCACATGGTTCACGAACTTAAAAACTATTTTTTTAAATATATATATTTTTTAGTATATTTGACATTTTAAATAAATATATATATTTTTAAATAAAATATTAAAATAAAATAAAAGTTATCATATTGAAATTTAACTTTATCTTCGAAATCTACTAATTCAAAACCTACACAACTTTCAAGAGATACATTTGAGAGTCTAATTCAAAAACTAATAAATTGAAGATTAAATTTGTCTAAGATTTGAAGTAAATATTTAAACCTAATCTTAAGGATAGTATAATTCTTTTCATATGTAATCGAGTTGACTCATGAACCTAACGAGTCGAACTATGTATAGTTCAAGTTCAGCTCATTTAGTTAACGAACTTAATTTTTCGCTCATACTCAACTCATTTGGTTCATGAACCTAGTTCAACGATTTAATTGTCGAGTCGAATTCCGAACTATCTTCGAGTTGGTTTGGTTCATTGCCAGCCCTACTCCTCGTGTAAACTTATCAACACATTTTAGTGTCATGGTTTCACCAATTCTCAAATAGTCATCCACAATATCAGCCGATGTTCCATATGCCAACATACGGATAACAACACTGCATTTTTGTAATGGTGAAAGACTTGCCCTACCTGTTGCATCAACCATGATTCGAAAATACTCATCATGTTGACCTAGAGCTTCAACAATACGAAGGAACACATGTTTATGCATTCGGTACCTTCTACGAAACTGCTCATTTGTGTATACCGGAGTTTCTGAAAAATAATCTTTGAACAATCGTTCATGTCCCTCTTCACGATTCCTCTCTATATTCCTTCTTTGACGCCTAGGCCTTCTAGAGCTCGAGGCTTCTTCTTCCATAAACAACCTCACAAGTTCTTCATCCATGTGATCATTCATATAATCCATAAACATTTTTGAAATGTGGGAAGGATTGGAAGGATCCATGTGAAAAGAAGTTTGATATTTAGTGTAGAAGATGATAACAAATTGTAAAAAATGCAAGATGTTAATACTATTTATAAGACTACTTTGAATAACGACTAGTTTGAATAACAGTTAGTTTGACTTTGAATAACGGCTAGTTTGACTTTGAATAACGGCTAATTTGATTTTGAATACGTAATCATACTAATTAAGTCCATTTTAATTAATCATACTAATTAAGCCCAAAATACACAAAATACATAATCATACTAATTAAGTTCATATTTTTCTCTAATCATGTTGCACAACATATCACGAGCTTGTAGTTGTCTTGTATCCATATTTGATGTATCTTTTGAGAGTATTTGCAAATCATTAATCTTCAATCTCTCCTCGGCACTCCCATGCTTCTTAATCTTTGCATCAACCTTTTTTTTCTCTATCTCAACTTTTTCACCCTCAATGCGTGCATAGTCCCGTGCAAACATTGACATCAGATCAATTTTTTTTAAAGTCATCTTTCAAAGAATCATATTTGACATTGGGAGTAGAAGACATTTCCATAAGCTTTTCTTTCTCCTTCCTTTTGGCTACCTTTTGACCGATTGGACGGTGAGACAAAGTAGGTGATGATGGATCGTGTTCGCTGCTCATAGATGAAGAATATGCTCCTGAAGCTGAATTCTTTGTTCTTTTTGTAGAAGCTTCTGATGAACCTGCGGACCATTTAGGTTCATCTTTCAATAATCTCCATGCAGCTTCAAAAGTAAACTTTTCACATTCATCTTGGAAATAGATTTTATATGCAGCTTGCATGATATTGCTCTCGGAACTCCTACTTTGTTCTCTTTGTAATTAATGTCACGATGCTTGTTGTAAGCTTCACCGATCCGCTTTCAAAAA